GGGGGGGGGGGGGGGGGGGGGTATGGGTAAATCTGGCGTTTTACTGGCAAAACTATGAACACACAGCCTTGGGGGCGGTGGGAGTCTGGTTTCTCTATTACTTCTCCTGGTTTGTCATTCACTGATCACATGGTCCTAATTTTTAAATTTGTGCCGAAAATACTGGACATAAATTCACGAATGTTCTGTTTTTAGAATCACGATTCACAGTTGGTCAAAAGGTTCCAGGACAACAACCAGACCACGTCTCACACACTCCTTACCTTCGTCCTCTGTGGTCCAGACAGAAGTCTTCTGACGTGTGGACACCTCCAGCCATTGGTCGAGGACTGGTCTCTGTCATGACACTCCGGGGGAGGGTTGGTGGGGGTCGGGGGGGTCTTTGTCATCGCCTTGTTTATGATTTGTCATCAGTGTATCTGCAGTAATAAGAGACTCAGAGTCAGAACTTAAGAGACTCTCTCACTCATCAGGTGTAAAGAGCAGAGAAAACTCCTGGTGGACAGTGGTGGTACGACATGTGAGCACAATAAGGCTTTGAATTTATAATATGTATATTATTATATTTTTATTTTTAATTTAAAAACATATTGATGATTGATATTCTATGGTTCATCCTGGTTTTTGGAACTAGAACCTTGATCTATATTTTTACCCTTCAGTGTTCTGCATTACTATGTTTTGAAAAAAAAGAATAAAATAATTTATTTACAGGGAAAGAATAACAGGTACAATATCATTTTCTCACTTTGAATTATTAAGTTCAGATGATTTAAACATTTGAAATTCAAACCTGCCTCAGAAACGGTCCTGAATCCAACACACTGTCAGTTTTTACAGTGAAGAGTGTTTTCAACCAATCATGGACGACGTTTATTTTTAAACCAAATTCAGTTGATATTCAGTTGAAAAAAAGTTACTTTTCTGTAAAGACACTGTGTTTAAGTCACACACACACTGGCCTCCTTGTTCACCTGGTTGGCAGGCCGCTCCGCTGGTGTTGACAGGACAGACAAGGACCCTCAGTTCCTGGGCGGCCCACCTCCCTGTGAGACCCAGATGTTTAGAGTTAGTGAGCAGTTTAAAAAAAAAAAAAAGTATGACACCCGCTCCTGGCTCGGGTTTTGATTTCCCGCTCCGATCCTGACAGATGGGCTGGTCAGGTTTAAGAAAAATTTTTAAAAAAAGATTGACCTGAATAAAAAAATAAGAATGACTACAGAAAAGAAAAGAAAATGGTTCTGGTTTCATTTCATAACAAACATGTAGTCTGGAAAGAAGATTTGATTTGCTTGATGGATTAAAGAACATGGGATTAATTCTGCAGGATTTTGGGGGAAAAAAGAATTCCCTGAAAAAACCCCCCCCCCCCAAACACAGGGGAACGAACAACTGGGACTCAAACCAATGATCTTCTCACTGTAAGATAGGGCTGCACGATTATGGTCCAAACGATAATCATGATAATTGTTTTTAATCAATATTTAAATCACGATTCACGATTATCCACTGTGTTAGCTAAAACGCATATTTATTGGTCAGTTTAGAGTGAAACTCATAAAAATGATTCGAATAATAATAATAATTATTGCATGATTATCAAACAATCGAATAAAATACGGGCTAATCTAAAAACAGGGAACTAATACATTAAAACCCGTCGGCTACTTCCGTGTCTGAGACAGGTGGATGGATACGGCGTCGCCGCGTGCTATGCTATGCTAAGCTAAGCTAAGCTAAGCTAAGCTGGCGCTCGGTGATTTAGGGGACCAGGGTTAGCTTCATGTGTATATATGTTTTCTTTAGGTGGTTTGTTCGGCACTCTTTGTGTATAAATATATATTTTTGGTTCAAAACAAAACCCACTCCAGACAACAGGTGTTGACAGTCCCGCTCCTCCTCACCTTCAAACGCTACCGTCGCTTTGTGCCGCCATTACGTCTCACTCTTCCGGTGACTGCAGGTCACGATAACTTCCGATGACCAATCAGGCAGCTTTCGCTCGCCCCCTGGTGGTTGGCTGACTATTTGTTGTGCTTGATTTCTTATGCGGAGCCCATTTTCTAAACGTAAATATCGCCGACGACCATCTTAAATTAATCGTGGCGTCTAAAATCCTGAAATGTCGATTCATTGTGCAGCCCGACCTTAAGGTGAGACCACTGATCGACCCAAAACTAACTAACAAGGTGTGTTTATATATAACATTCAGCAGATATATATGAGACAGATATTATACGTTAATATATAATAGTACAGTAGGAGGCGCTCTATCTTCACAGCCAATGGTGCTCCATATAGATATAGATATAAAAGACAACACAGAGCGACTTGAATCAAGTCCTGAAAATCGATTCAGCAGATGTTCCCTCCATTTTTCATCTCTCCGGGACCGTGTGCAACGTTCTGTTTGGAGGCCAGTGTTTTGGCCACATGGACTTGCCAACAATAACAAACTTGTGAAACTCCCGCGGCTGGTAATCTCATCTTTTCTTCTTTTTCCCCGAGCCGTGGGAGGTAACAACTGGAAACACAGTAGAACTGCTGAGTCAGGACAGGATTACAGTCTGAGTGGAGCAGCAGATTAGGATTAGGATTATTGGTGAGTTTCTCTAAGGACAAAATTAGCTTCTTAAGATACGTTTAACACAATGAAACATATATGAAATATAACGGAATATAAAGTCAGTAAAGGTGAGTGAAGTGAGTAACTGAGTGAGGAAAGGAGGTGAGACAGTAAAATGGGTGAGGAAGTGGGTGAGGGTAACTCAACCTTAGGTCAAAAACCTCACTGTTGACTGTGACTGACCTCAGGTTCAGTTTCCATGGAAACTGCTCGTCTACCACGATAGCCCGTAGTTCCTGAAGTTTGTCTGCAGCGCCCCCTTTTTGTAGCTAAAACCAATAAAATAAAAAAAAACAACCTAAGTGATGAAACATCATTTAAAAAGAACTGTTTGTTGGTGACATGTCAGGAGAACTTGACCCCCCCACCAAAAAAAACATTCCAGATTATTTATGAAACAGTTGACGCTAACGACTCAAACGATGAAGGACAACATCTCAGCCAGGGTCACGGGGTCACCTGGTCGTCACGGGCTCAGCAGACAACAACACCACCAGAGGAGTTGATGTGAGCAGAGATAACTGAACCATGATGTAATATATCAATTATCTGTGACCACTAGGGGAGCTATGGTAACCTTGTTTCTGTGTGTGTGTGTGTGTGTGTGTGTGTGTATAACCCAGCTGTAGTGTGTGTGTGTGTGTGTGTGTGTGTGTGTGTGTGTGTGTGTAGTCACTGAGGTCTGGGTGGATCAGTTCATCTCTGCTCCTGGGAACTGAACACATCATGGTCTCTGAGGCCATGACTCACACAATCACACACACACACACACTCTCACAGTTCCAGAGTGGATCGCTGTCAAAGCAGCTGGTTGTGGTTTATAAGAAAACGTTGACCCTTGACCTCCCTCAACCCCTAAACCTCTCTGGGTATGTGGGAGAGGGGTGTAATGACAGTTTGTTCCAGCAGTGGCAGTGACGTATGGGAGAGGTCAGAAGACAAACACACACTTCAGATTTTCTTGAAGTTGGACAAACTTCAGTGCACATTCCGGAGTTGGACACACTCATCTGAGCAACACAGTGGTGTTCAAACTATGGCGTGTGTACCCCTGGTGGACCCTGGGGTCCCTGTAATGTTATGTCATTTTAGTCCAGATTTTGACTGTCTTCTTCTCTGTTGTTTATTTATTCTGGGAGTCTGATTGAGTAACAGAAAAAAAGGGGCGTGGCATAGTTTGACTTGACCAATCAGAGCAGGTTAATTTGTTGTTGAACGCTGTTGTTGTTCTTTACGGTAAACTGCAGAATTGATGGCCTTTGTTAGAAAACATTTTTGGGTCATACACACCATGAAGACTGGGCCACGTGGACACTGACGGCCGGTTTGTCAGCCAATCTACTGGACCACTGCAGCCGGGTTCGTTGACCAACCATGGGGGCGCGGCTCCACCTGTGACATCTTCCTAAAAAAACAACAACATTCTATTTATTACTGAGAGGCCACTTCATTTTTCCACAGCAGTGAAGGAACATTAAAAAAAAAGTCAACAAAGAAACCATGCAGAGCCCATGTGCTTTTGGAACAGTGCTCCCCACAAAGAAACCAAGCACCCATGTGCTTTTGGAACAGTGCTCCCCCTGGTGGCATTGACAGGTAGTGTGACAACAAAGAGGAGAGTGGTGAATGTTTCCATATCAAAGTTTATTGCTGACATGCATGTAGAGATCTGATGACGTAGAAAAATATGTTTTTATACAAAGGTGTTCTCATCTGTACAATTATGCAGTTTTTCTGGATCTGGTTGCCCGTGACTGACCAACAGCTTACATCAACACATCATCCCACTGGATTCAAACAACACCACATTTCAGCTCCTACGCTAGGCTTCCAGTCGAAACAGTCGGTAAATACACCGGTGGTAGACTGACAACTTTAGTTCAAAGTCAAAACAATATATATTTTTAAACATGGTAAAAAAAAATCACTCCATTCATTTATTAGTTTAGGGGTCAGGGAGGTCAGAGGGTCAGGGGATCGGGGGGTTAACAATAAATAATTCCTGGCCTGGAACTGACTGAAGCACTAAGATTAAGTTTCCATCACCTTTTTCGCTCTGACACACATTCGAGTTCAAAAATCATGCAACAGTTTGACGTCACGCTATAACCATGCTAATCAGGCCGCGACCCGAGCGACCGATGGGTCCAGTTCCAAGAACCAGCGATGACGCCGACGAGAAAGCAAAACACTTTGGACAGGAGTGGGGCCACACAGATGGAAACATCTACATCATGGTCCATCCTACCTGGACCGTTACTGGGGCATTATGGGATACGGTGCAAGACGTTTCCCAGGAAGATCGTGTGTGTTAGCATTCATTAATAACTACAGTGATTTAGGGGGGAAATTAAAATAATAAAAAAAAAAAAAAAAACACCATCCGGATGAACAACCTAGACTACTACAATACTGCTGCATACCTATGTACTTCACATTGAGGCGGGGTGGGAGCACAGCGCCCCCTTTACATCCAGACTTTTACCCTCCAGATGTGGCGACCAGTGGCCAACGTGGCCTATAACACGTTAATCAGCATGTGATGAAACAGCGGCGTGTGTCTGACGGTGCGACTACATGTACAGTACGACCAGCACAGTCGGGATGGTACAATATTTACATACTGACCGAAGAGTGTGCGGGGGGGGAGAGGGGGGAGACAGGGGGGTGTACAGTGAAGGATGAAGCCCGGTGAGGAACAGCTCAGAGCTGGAGTCAGTCTTGTTAGAAGTCTAGCTTAAGTTAACCCACCAACACCAGTGGTTTAAATGGCAAGAGTACGATTAAGGCCAAAAGTCATACTTTAATCCAACATGCGAGACAAACTGTCAACGACGCGGGGAACCTCTAGGGGGCACAGCACATACAGAGCAGATGGTCATGTGTCCTCTGTCCTGTTTTTAATAAATGAAAAAAAAAAAGAATAAATAAATACAGATGTTTGTTTGAACTGGGCGGGAAATAAGAAAGACGACATAGAACAGAGAGTAGAGTCCACACCTACATGTAGTTAACACATGGATCCATGACCATCTGTAACAAAAAACAGAACAACAACAACAACAACAAAAAAGAAACCATTATGTCATTATGTCTATGACTTCCACCTTAAGAGCTTAAACCCAGACCAAAGAGACAGAGTGAATGCTTATTGTTCATGAAAACAACTGTGATGATTGAAACTGAATTTCTTTGACGAGGATTAAAACCTGACTCACATCTATGAGAACTGAGCAGGCGGGGGGGCCTGTTCAACTGACAACAGCTATCGTTTAATTAAAAAAAAAACAGTAGTCAGTGAAACGAGTCCCTGTGGTTTTAGAGGTTGTGTGGCTGTGGTGAATAAATACATCAATACGTGGTGCGAGGGCCAAAGAGCGGACGGTACTCTGTCTTCATGCATTTTCAGCTTGAGTATAAATAGCATGGAACACAGAGGGTCAGCAGAGGCAGGTGTCACTACACAAAAGGTGAGATACAGTGTGAAGATGTCGCTGGTTTGAAGCCCGGCTATCGCTTGTAGATGAGAAAAAAAAAAAAAAAAAATCATGGAGCCACAGCAATGAAATCTGAAGAATAAGCTCGGATCTGTTACCAGTTTGTTCTATCAGAGTGTGTGTGTGTGTGTGTGTCTTGGTAGGAAAAAAAAACAGGCGTACGACACAGAGTGTGGCAACAGAAATGCGACGACTCCTAAATGTATAAAGACAAAGTTTGTGTGAGTGATTAAAAAAAACCTGCTCTGGTTTTTCACAGTGTCTGCCCCCGGAGGCAGGACAGATTATTACCGTATATCATGGAAAAGAAGCCACAGTTAACCTTGTGTGGACTGGGAACGTGGTAGAGCCCGGTGTTTGAAGCAGGTTTTACATTAAATCTGTAAAAATAATAAATGTTTTAAAAAGTTTTTTTTTTTAAATACCAGTCATTTACTCATCTTTGTTTGGAAAATTATTAATCAAAAAAAAAAAAAAAAGTATTTCAAGACTTTATCATGGCAATGCAGCTTTAATTTAAAGGTAAAGTTTTTCTCGTACTTCTTAAACACAAGGTGGCGCCTTGTCAACTGAGACTTCAATGATGACGAGATCTGTAAAAAAAAAAAAAACATGAACTAAAATGTTGTTTAACTGGACCAAGTTAACGTTAATATTTGGACAGACGGTGACAAATGTCTGTCAAAACACCAGCGACACCAACAATTAGTTCAGTTTGTTTTTAAACTATTTTTAAACTCGTCATCATCATAAAAAACAAAACAAAAAAACAACCAATTTGGTCAAAGTCTGTGTGAAATAAATTAAATTGTTCATAACTGAAGCTTCAGTACTTTGAAAGAATTTTTTTTTTTTTTTTTTTCAGAATTTAACAAATGTAAAACTCAAATTCAACTCTGGGCTTTAATACCCGTCCTGGAGGAGGCGCTGAAGACTGATGATGTTGTGAGGTTGACAGCTTAGACAAAAACAAAAAAAAAACAAACAAAAAAACAACAAAAATGACAAAAAAAACAAACAAAAAAAACAAAATGTAGATACATTTCAGCATCAAACGATGGTTTCACATTCACACCGATCCACACTAGTCCTCAGATTAGTCCTGGTGGTGAACAGGCAGGTTGAAATCCCCTGGAAGCCGTTAGATCGTGAGCGAGGCTGCAGGTACCAGTTTCCTTGGCGTAGAGTCATCTTTAAGACATGGTTTTTGACGGAGACAGGACTGTGCCTCAAATCTTCACTGTGATGGCACTGAGGAAGCGTGACCGTCAGCGAGCCGCGGTGCGGCGAGGCTCCCGCGGCTGCTGCTCCGTTCCGTTCTTGGCATGGCTGACTTCCGGGTACCTCGCGCTAGCTGCCTGGATGCTTCAAATAGTTTTGTTTTTTTTTCTCCACAGGGGGGTGAGCAAGAGCTGGAGGCAATGCATTGTGTGAATATTTGTTTGTACTTAAGATTTTTTTAATATCTTCAAAGCAAAAGGATTAAGATAAAAATGCTACTTATGTTGTAATATGTTTAAAAAAAAAAAAAAAGAAGAAGCTTATTGGGGAGTTTTGTGAAACCACAGAGAAAAAAAAAAAGGTTTCAGAGCATTGTGACACTGACGTTAATGCTTCGTGTCACCGGGAGCGCCGAGACCCCCGTGTGACGGATACCTTGTCTCGGAAACAGTGAGCGTGGTTTTTTCTTTCTTTGTTTTTAAACCAGGAGAGAGGAGAGAGACGGAGAGGTAGATTGATTCAGAGTCTGGATCCTGTTCAATACAGGAGAACAGCTGAGACGGAGGGGGAGGAGTCAGAGGAAGAGGTGGGAATGAGAGGTGACGGCTGTGACCTGACATGATCTGTGACCATGGTAACCACTGAGGCGGGACAGAGGGAGGTGGGGGACGGAGACGGGGGGTTGCTACATGATTCTGATCCTGTATTGCTCAGGGGATCCAAGGAAGTGAATAAAGTGTTCCAGTGGGAGAGGAATTCTGGGAGTTCTTTGTCCTGCCCCCCGCCCACACACACACGCACCAGGCAGAGTCTCGTCTTCGCCTGATTTAAGACCGTGCCGTCTGAACAACTGCACAGTGAGATCTGATTGGTGGTTGACCTGAGGGGCGAAGAACCTTTGGTTCAGATATTCCTCCGGGTTTTTGAATGTTTCACAGGATCCAGATTTGTGACGTGAACTTCTGGGTCAGCCATTGGCATGGGTGCGCTCCTCTAAACAGGTCCAGTGAACTCACCCAGAACCTGCCATCATCATCATCATCATCCCTGGATCGAGTCCAGCCGCGGTACGAAAGTTCACGTTTGGGCCTAGGTTCTCCGGTCATCTCTGGACACTGAAAAAGTTCTGCGGTGTCGTGGAGAGAACCGAGCGGTTATCGGACGGGCGACTGGAGTCTACTACTTTCGTAGGAAGCGCTGTGCCAGGATGGCAGCGTCCAGCGGGCTGACGGGCTGCGCGTCGTGGCCCAGACGCCTCACGGGTGGAATGCTGCCGTAATGGCGCGTGGTGAGAAAGCTCTTAGCTTCGTGGATAGTGTTTTTCTCCTCGGCCAACAGCAGCTGCTGACGCATGTAGTTCTCAAACTCGTACTGTGACGACTCTTCTATCGCCTTGTTCTGAAATTAAAAGAAAAACAAACAAAAAAAAGTTGATGTTAATTTTTTTTTTTTAAAGGCTGAATAATATTCACCAGATCTTTATGATTAATCTAACTTGATAACTTTTACCCCAGGTTAATCTCTTCAAGGCTGCCAGGTAAGAACTTCATCTTTTCTACTGTCAATGTTCTCATAACAAGTTTCTCCCACTAGAGGGAGCCAAAGTACCATCGTTGATGCATGCACTACTCGTGAATTACAGTATTCTTTGCTGGTTCACCTCTTGCAGATGTTCTGGGTGATTGATCTGGTCGTCAATATCCGGCACCACCTGCAGAGGTCCACTCAGTGACGACACCGACTGCCTGTTCATGAACAACCAACAACAATAATGTTGAAACAAAAGCCTCACCACAAAACCGGTCAATGAGTTCTTTCTTCAATAGTACAGACACCAGCGACTCCTCTAACGGCCGGCAGAGGGAGCACTCACCACGAGGCGATGATGACACTGAGGGACTCGAGCACCTCCCCTGCAGTCAGCCTCTGCTGAGGGTCCAGCACCAGAAGCTTCCGGATGAGACACACTGTGTTTTCTGACACACGACCATCCCTGAGAGGAGGAATTATTAAAAAATAAAAATAAATAAAAACACACATTCAGACTAAGAAGTTAGAAGAAGTAAGAACTACTAACTTTACAGCTAAAGTTAATATAGTTAACAGTTAAACCTGGACATCAGTCTGTTATTTATTTATTTTTTGTTAAACTGTAAATGTTGCACAGAAAAGAAAAACAATAATTTACCAACAGACCTGAGGTCAGCCTTAAAGGTCAACAATTATCAAAAAAAATCCAGGTCAGAAGACATTTCGTTTGTGTTTGTCTTGGGCTTTAATGAACTTTTTCATGTGTTCATAATTGAGCTCTGTTTGTCTTGGACTTTAATGAACTTTAATTGATTTAATTGTTTATTTTAAATCTAATTGTTCAATTGTACTTCTTTAACAAATTCGTTTGATGTTGAGTCTTATTTTTTTAATTATTGTTTACATTCTACAGTATTGATTTAAGAAGAATAATTGAATCATTTTAAACCGTTTCATTTTTACTTTATCTTTTTTTTTACATTTGGAATCACTAGAGAAGAAAGAAAAGAAAATGAACCAACACCAGGAATATTGGACTGGGAATTAGTGATAATAAAATATTCGATACAGTGATGTGAAGACAAAATATCGCAATATACATGTCCTCTGGATCATTAGACCCAACAGAAAGCCGGTCTGGACTCACTCTGGGATGGAGTACTCCGCAGCCTTAATCTTGCGGAAGAGCTCCTGAGGTATGCTGTCGTAAAAGGGGAACTGGCCGTACAGCATGGTGAACAGAACCACACCCAGAGCCCACATGTCACTGGGCTTTCCACGGTACGGTCGACCTGCAGACAGGAACGAGGGACGATAAGAACTCATGTCACAATAAAAAAAAAACAGAAACAAAAAAAATAATGAAGCAACCGTTTGGTAAACACGCAGATAAGAAAGAGAGATTAGAGATTGGGACTATTGTTGATGTGATTTTTTTTTTTCAGCCTGTGTGACTCAGAGGTAATCAGTGCCTTTCACAAGGTCACTTCCTGTCAAGTCAACAGGTCTGATGTTGCACTGGGTGAAAAAGGAAGAACAAACACGGAGGCACAGGGAGAGCATCTGTCACGGTGACAGAGAAACGAAACATCATCATCATCAAACTGACAAAGAGCGGAGGGTCACGACTGTGCAGCGCTGTTACAGGCAGCAGCAGGCAATTAGGTTGCAACAGTTCACACAAACACATTGGAGGAAGGGAGGGAGGGAGGGAGGGAGGGGGAGGAGAAAGGGGGGAGGGGATGGGAGTAGTTTCCCTTTGGTGAGTCATCAGTGTGTGAGTCACTGAAACTCTATTTAATAATGTGACAGTCACATTATGGAGACGCCAGCCTGTTTCCTCCTACAGACTGAAAGTGGATGTTTTTTTTGGTTTTTTTTTATTAATGGAAATACAGATCTGTATGAAATTTAGGTGGGAAGGGGGGGGGCACATACACCCCCACACGCCAATGTCACAAACAAAAAAAAATAAGGAATGACTGATAAAAATGCTTGGATGTTTTGGTCAATCCCTGATTTCAACATCACATTTTTTTCTTGTTGCCCAATCACTGTGGAAGTGGAACCAAAACTCACTGCACTCAACAGAGATGTGGCTCAAACCGTGGCTCAGAGACGCACCGGTTCACAGCAGAGCTTTTGAACGAGTGTAAACAGAAACCAGTTGGTGACAACGACACCGCTGTCTAACCAGCTGTGACTGTGGTCTAGGTACGCAGACGCCACCGAGCCCTGTGGTGTAAACTGGTACTGCACCTCAGAGCTGCTGCTGCTGTGTCACAGTAAAGCTCTGCAGACCACGTCAGTTTTATTATTTGTTCAGACCAGAACCGATTCCACCGGTCCCTTCAAGTCAATGTGAACAGAGAGCGTCAGAACTGTTTCAGTAAAACTGTTGTGTATTTATTTATTTGTTTGTTTGTTTGTTTTTTTTCCCCCAGTTCTCCAATAATCCTCCCTTTTTAAAACTCACCACTTAACACATCGGGACTAATGTAGGCCGGACTTCCTCTCTGGTCCTTCAGCAGGTCGTCCTCACTGACCAGGTGTTTCCCCAGACAGAAGTTTGTAATAGTTATACGGTGAGTCCTGTGGGCACACACACACACACACACACACACACACCTCATCAACACAGGTTCTTATTTTCAGTAATGCATTTTGAATCAATTTACGACATGGCCATTTCCTCCTTTCTTAGAAACGCCGCAGGATTCTGTTAATGTGATGAAAGCAGGATGTGAAGTATTTAGTGACGCAAACACTGAACTTTGCCATCATGGGGTTTTCTTAGTTCTTAATTATCATGACTTTCTCACAGCTGTCAAGGTGTATGTATCACGAAAAAAAAATATTTTGAAGTTAAACTTTAAACTGATTTAATTTCCATCTTTTTATCTCTCAAAATGACAGGAAGGGAGAGAAAAAACATCTTCCCAAATTATTTAAAAACAAAATCTCAAACTCCACATAAACATTTTTAAAAACCTAATAAAAATCGACCAAGAGGCACAAACACATTTCAAGTACATGACGTATTGAGTACTGGGGTAATACTACAGATATATATAGAAGTACTTCGTTGACAATTTGTTGTTTCACCTACTAAACATGTCGAGATACAAATTTCTACAATAACATTCAGACGTGTCAAGATACAAATTTCTACAATAACATTCAGGATTTAGTCCGACAGTCTCTACACCAACACTGCACATCTGATCTTACGGTAGAAGGAAAATTAAGTTGGTTTGCTATTAGCAAGCAAGCTAAAGGTGTAAAACTGGAAACGTCATCTGGAGTTGACCTTTTTAAAATTCTGGTTCATCCGGTGCACCAGTCAAATATATGCTCTTGCAGGGGACCCAATGCAAAGTGGCTAAAGAGCCATATGTGGCTCTGCAGCCAGGGGTTGGTACACACTGCCTCCATTGTTTGTATTTTTGTTTAATTGCCCTTACTTTATATTTACACTAGCAGAGAGTAAACATACAACGCACTGACGACACATTTAAATTAAAACAACCAAGAACCAGCTGTAGCTGAATTGTCATCCTCGTTCAGGGTCTGATGTCTGATGTGAACTTTTTGCACTTTTCTCACCGACACTGCTGCGCTCGCTGCTGAGAGCAGGACCAGTTCAGACACATTGGCACGTCAATGTGTGACCTACGCTCCTACAACAGCCACGTTTGATTAATACAGTTTCTGTGGAAGAGATTTTTTCCTCCTGAGTCATCAGGGTCATTAGTCATTTTGCTCGTGGCAAAATAAAACCCAGCAGTAACACTGTCGAAGGACTGGAATACCAGTTCGCTCTTTCGCTCTGTAAGAGAGACAGCGAGCAAAAGAGCGAGAGAGAGAGAGCGAGAGAGCTTCAACAAACACATGAGTCAACCTGTGGCCTCGGATAATTGCCCTGATGAGTCACTGTGTATTTGTTTGGCTGGAAAACAATATATTTATATTTAAAAGTCAGGATGATTTTATATACAGTATGTGCACAAACTCCCGTCTCCAAGAAACGACTACACAACTGCTTACATGCACAAAAAACAAAAAACAAAAACAGTAGTCCAGGGCACATGAGCGTGCACAAAACTCAGCCACGGTCTGGTTCCTGGATCCTCTCTAGATCATGCTGCTTGACCACATCCGCTTTCTGTAAAGTCTGAGGTCAACAGCTTCCTTTATTCTCTCTCACTTTCACACCAGGCTCCATCACATGCAACACTGTTCCCATTAAAGTACATGGGAAAAAAAAAAACAAGTTCCGTGACAGACTCCACAGCCACAGGTCATGTGTACGCTGCAGATAAAACACAAAACCCCCTAATTTCTCAGCTCTGCTCTTCTACATCAGCCGTCTCTGCTGTGATGGTCCCAGTGCTGGGCTGTCACTTTCTGCTGCACCAGCATTAAAGACCAGGGACAGACATGGAGGCACGGGGGTATTGTAGAGGTCAAGGAGGAGGAGCAGAGAGAGAGAAGGAGAATGATTTTGATCTTTTTCGAATGGTTCTCACAGTGTGAAACTGCAGCGATTTGGATTTTTTTTTTTTCTTCTCTAAACTAAAAGGGAACGACAACTTGGTCAAATTTACACTGAACTCAGAACAGTTCAGTAGAGACTTGAAGTAAATGTACTGGTACTGTTTTGTTTGAACTTTTCAGGTGACCCCATTTGAATTGCAGGCACCACCATGTGAGGTCACGACCCCCAACTGAAGGATAGTTATTTTTGTACCGTCCAGAACTGGGGTCTCAAACTCATAATTAACTATAAATAAAATATATATATACACATAAGTACAAATATGTTAGATAAACTTACATATTGAATAAAATATAATTTTACTAACCCTAACCATATCTTGAACATGAAGCGTTTGTGTGCCCAACTGAAGGATAGTTATTTTTGTACCGTCCAGAACTGGGGTCTCAAACTCATAATTAACTATAAATAAAATATATATATACATAAGTACAAATATGTTAGATAAACTTTCATATTGAATAAAATATAATTTTACTAACCCTAACCATATCTTGAACATGAAGCGTTTGTGTTTTTTTTTTCAAAATTCATGAAGTTAAATGTGATGTGAACTACTAGTGGGTTTTATGTGGTGAGTTTAATGGTGTCTCGGGGGGGAAAAAAAGCCAGAAAGGAAATAAACAATGAATGAGAGTGCGTGTGTGTATGTATATATACACTCTCATGCATAGTGTATGTGCATAGCATTCATTGCAGTGTGAGTCAGCCCTGAACTATGAAGCCTTTGGAAGGACACTTCTTCGTCTCAGCTGGGACGAAGTGTTCGACTCCCCCACCATCCCCCTCCTCTTCTGGCCAAAACACTCTCTGGTTTCATCACCACTTCTACTGCTGCCAGTGTTGGTGTGGTCAATTCTTAAAAAATAAAACTAGTCAACAAGAGGATCGGAATTGGTTCTGCTACTGTTCTATCAGCGATGATCTTCAAACGGGTGAAGTGACGTTGGTGAGGAGAGTGTCGGCTACTGTCGGCCCCAGAAACTGATGGAACAGGCGCTGGTTTTACTGCATCAAACAAGTAGCTGTTTGTAGTACCAAGTACACTCGAAGTATCTCTCAGTTTTCAGAGAGGTCGGTGACCCCCTGCTGTGGACAAACCCCAGGACTACCGTGACGAGTAACTCAGAGTGACTCAGACTCCGGGTTCTAAACATTCCTCACCTCCACCTATCGTAAACATTCCAACAAAAACAAAACTCCAACATTTTCCCTCTAAGTCCTGACCTGGACTGCACCATACTTCCAACAGTGGAGGAATAAACCACTATCACCATCATCATCATCATCATTTCAAATCTAGACCAGTTTAAAAACCAATCAAAGATCAACTCCCCGTCAACAGTCTGGTCTGAAGACGTATCCTCTGCTGCAGATTCACAGTCAAACTTTACTCCAACGACTAAACCAGACCCTGACACCTGGCCTCGTAATGAGAGGACAGTGGGCGGACCACGGCGCCACCAAGGCTGTATGTGTGTGTCTGTGAGAGAGAGCAGAGTTGTGTCGTACCTTTTGTTCAGCACCATGTTCCCCAGCTTCAGGTCTCTGTGCACAATATTTTTCTGTCAGGACGGGGTGAGGGGGAGAGGGGGAAGCACAAAAAAAAAAAAAAAAAAACATGTCAGTCCGAGTGAATCATCTGTGTCGAAAGAGTTTCTCGGAGTCACGCCGAGCAGTGAGTAATCAGAAAGTAGGCCTGAATTGGGAACATTACAAAACATACTTCTGCAGTATTACTCAAGCCGGAAAAAAATACATCAGCGTCCGCGCAGGCGACGCTAACACGCCGGACACCAACCTTATGTAGCGCCTCCACCACCCGCACCACGTCGTAGAAGATAACAATGGCCTCGCGCTCACTCAGCCTCTTCTCCTTGATGACGTAGTGCTGGAGGTTGATGAGGTCGGCCGTCTTGTCGCTGAAGTCGTGGGCACATAAACAGTCCAGCACCAGGCAGATCCGCTTCTTCATCTTTCGCACTTTGTTGGCCTCCATGTCCTCCACTATTTCATAAGCTCGGTCCTGCTCAAACAACAGAAAAATGCTAATTTAACAATCAAGTTTGGAAGGAGTCAAATTTAACTATCATGTTTGGAAGGGGCATTATAACAGGGGTGTCAAACATACGGCTGGCAGGCCAAAACACCGCTCGATGAATTTTGAAAGTGAAAAAAAATGCACGAACACTTCATGTTTGTGAAGTTCTGTAAAATTATACTTATATATTTACATTTAATATGAAGGTTTTCTAATATATACTTGTGCTTCTTTGCAGGAAAACAAGATGTAGAAATAAACATGTACTGGTTGTTACTGAAGTGTGAATGTTACAGTTATGACTGTACTGGTCCGGCCCACTTCTTCACATCGAATGAGGTCGTACGTGGCCCCTGAACCAAAAATGAGTTTGACACCCCCCGGCTCTAAACTGCATGAGCACTGAATATAAATAAACCAGTTCAGACACCTCTTGTCCACACTGCATGGTGGGGCCGGGGGGGTGTATGGGAGACATGAGCTGCAGCTTCAATGACATAATATTTATAACTAAAAACTCAGGAGTCGGTTTATAAAAGAAATGACACACAGTCATATATTAAATAAAACGGCTTCTTTTACAACTGGTTGTTTCAGCGACTCGACAGGTGAAACAATAACAAAAACGTGATGTACCTGAAAGAGGCCGTGGTGGTGGACGACCCCGTCCTGGTTGTGTAGTAGAGAGAGCAGGGAATACTCTGTGTGCAACAGCATCTTCCCCTGCCTCTCCTCCTGAGTCTCACCCACAGAATCCACTCGCTCCTCCAGCGTCAGGATCTGAAACCAGCCAATCAGACCAAGGATCAGTGAGTTTGTGCGTGGCAAGTTTTCTTACACCGACGCTGAATATTCAGTTACATCTGCTTTGGCACTGAACTAGAAGTGACGACCTGTAGAGTGAAGGTGGGAACGTTTGCTAGTGTGTGTTTTGGTCCGTGTGTGTGTGTTTGTGCTGAGGAGGAGAAGGACGGGGAGCAGCTCGGAGCATGGCCGTGGGGGTTAAAAGTTGACATTCCAGGTGGGGCACTGCATTCCTCCCTTTTTAGCCCCTCTGCTACTATCCTTCCCCTGCGTGGCAGACACTGGATAGCCCCCTATAAACACACTGACCAGCTGAGGTTTTGTTGTTTGCACGGGACTGGAAGACGGGGCCGTAAAACAAACACCACCAAAGAAGAGTCAAAGGTTCACATGTCTGCAGAATCCGAGCTTTGTTTTTGAAAATACAACTTAAACTTAGATCTTTTTTTAATATTGTTGAGCTTTGTTTTTGAAAATACGCCTTTTTTTTTTTTAAACTTAGATCTTTTTTTAATATTGTTGAATAAAAAACTGCTGCAGTTCTTCCTTGAAAACGCTGCTGAATGTTGCAACTTCAACTGCATTTATTTCAAACACTTTTGGTCAAAACTTACAGACAATATATTGTTCCTTTTCTGACCCTTTATCTATTATAAAATCATTTTCATCTGGTTCTTCTTATTCCACTCTCTTTGTTTGTTGTTGAATTGTTTTGCTGCTTATCTCCGTACATTTCAATAGAAAAACTTGAATCATGTTTTCACTATGTGGTTCAGTCACATAGTTTGCAGTGACTTAAACGAAACCCATCCCATAATAATACCTACCTTGAGTTGATAAAAATCATCGGTACCGTCCTTTCTGGCCAGACACTGCACTATACTGGGCACCGGTGAGTTGCCCAGGCGAGGCCCTGCAGCAACAAAGAGAGGGAACAGTTGCATGATCGACCAAAAGGCAAGCTGCGTGCTGTAGTAGCACCAGTCTTCCTGCAACTCATTAAACACACACTCCAATTAACACCCCGGGTGTTAATGTTTTGTTTGACACTCTGCACTGCAAACAGCAAAGGAGTTGTGCGGCAGATAACTTTAAAAAAAAAAAAAATAAGAAAAGGAAATATATTCCTGACACAGGAAATACCCTCACTGTCCTTCTGGACATTTTAAAACAAAAACAAAACGAGAAGATTCCTCACATTCTCGTCTCAGGTGAGCATGCTTGCAGAGACATTCACTACATTCTTTTTTTTTTTTTTTTTTAAATACACCCACATGTAAGTTAAACAGAATACAGATCAGCAGGCTTCCTTACCGAGGATGAAGGGCCCGGCTCTCTTGGCGTTATTTCCAGAGATGCCAGGACAGTGCAGTTTGCTGGCCCTGCCTGACGACTCTCCAGCACCCCTCTCAGACGAGCGCCGCTTGGACATACTGGAGTTCTACGGATGAAAAAAAAAAAAAAAATGTAATTAAATGAGTACATAAGATAACGACTGTTGAGTTAGTACGAGTGTCTACAAACAAAACGGGGGGAAAACAGTTACATTTAGAACGAGTACTGGTTCTGTGTCTTCATCTCAACATGCACTGATAATTGACTCTGACGTTCGAGTATCGTACAAGTAGCTAGTACTCGTTCAAGTACCAGCTGCAGTGTGGCAGATAGTAAACAGATGAGTAAACGCAGTCACCACATGTAAAGCCTCAGCCCCAGCCCCTCCCGTCTGTTAATTATACCCCTCCCACACATTTACCAACACCTCAGTGTTAATGCCAGGCCATTATGGCCCCATTCAGAATGATGACTGCTGGTGTCAAGGGTGACACCTCAGAGTCAATCTCCCCCACAATGCCACAGTCACAGTCATTTGAATGCAAAATGCCTTCATGTTAATCAATTCCATAGACAAAGAGTTCTGTAAAAACATAAGGGATTTTTTTTTTTTTTAATTTAACTTGTTGACACCTCTGGGCTGAACCACTCATCTTCTTTTTTGCCCTTTCTACCCCAGAGGCCAAAACACAGAAAAACACCTCAATCTGAACGTTTAATCTGAACATGCTCCGCTTATCTGTGTGGCCTCTGAAAAGAGTGGCGTGTACAAACCCGACCGGGAAGAAATCCTATTCTGGTAAATGCGAGAAGCGGCTTCACGTGCCAACATAAGCGGCGACACGGCGTGACATCATTGTAGCTGATCTACCGCCCCAGGACTCGAGGTATGCTTTGTTTACTGATAGCGAGTTCCTTTTTGATGAAACCTTGTTTGCTTCTGGTAACAGGGAAGTAGAGTTGTGAGCAGAAAAGGAGTGATTCACCCTTCTGTCATCCTGAGTTTCCACTGGACAAAGAAAAAAAGGCTAAACTGTCCCCGCTGATGGCGTCAATAAAAGCGTGCACTGTGCCCTTGAGCCGCTGACACGTAACGTGCACACAGTTGTGTCACAACACAGTCAAACACATTCAACGACCTGTGGGGAAACAGAGTCAGCAAAAGGTGACGCAGAGTCACAAATGTGTGTGAAAACGGCAACGGTTGTAGCAATGGTGTGTGTGTGTGTGTGTGTAGTGATACAGGGAAGATTCACACAAAAAAGCCCATAATCTGCAAAGTCCATGACAATGTTGAGTCAGACAGAAAAAACATTTAAAATAAAAAATAATTGAATAAAAGTTTACAAATGCAGTCGATGGAAAAAATCAAGTTCTTAAAAACTTCAGACAGTTTAATTAATGAATTTGAACGCCAAACGAAATAAAAAAATAATTGAATAAAAGTTTACAAGTGCAGTCGACGGAAAAAAAAAATGGAGTTCTTAAAAACTTCAGATTAATTAATGAATTTGAACGCCAAACGAAGAAAACAACACTGAGTAAACACTCCACTCGCTCAGACGATACAACGTCCAACTTAAATGTCTTGAATCTGAATAGCCGTCTTCGCCAGCTGGCGTTTTTTTTTTTGGGCAAAGTGGAGGGAGGACACTTGGCAGACGGACTAAGCTACAGTGAGTTCTCACTTCCATGAGGCTTTTTGTGATCGCAGACGGCAGACAGTGTCATCACCGCGTCTCTCGGTGATCCGTCTCCATCCCTGCTAGTCATCATCAGCCAACACGTCTGATAGGCTGAGGTTTTGTGAGTGCACTCATGACACACGGCAGGATGACACCAGGTCATGCTGCCGGCACTAAAAGCATCCTGCTCCACAAGTTGTATGCAGCATATAATCAGTTTAGGTTAGGAACTATAACTGAGCTATCAAGAATAATTTAGATACACCAACTTCCTTGTTATATCACAAATTAAACCGGCTTTAGGTTTAAAACACTGCAAATACATCTGTGACTGTTAAAAACACCCAAATGTTCATGGGACAAATGTGGACGACGACAACTTCTACTGACGATGCCCGAACATCTTAAAAAAACAAGATAAACGTGGCTAACACGTGTCAGCTGACCTCAACGACACCGGTGCAAAATACAGCACACAGACGTGCGCTCCTGTCACCGTTGTGCATCCGTGCACAGTCGGCCCACAGTCACTGAGCAGGCAGGACTGCGTCTGACTGTACCAGAGAAATGACAAGAACAGATACCGCCTCTGAATCATATCACACAAAAGGAGCAGAGACACGTTGTTGGTGCCCACGGGAAATGTGGGATCCCAAAATAGTACGAGAACAAAAAAAAAACCCAACATGTAGGTGTTTTATAAACTACCCACAATGACTGAAAGCTAGTGGTCTGGCCGAGAGAGAGGCTGCAACAGACTGTGAAAAAGCTTATTTCTGGAACAGTTCATTTAAACTGTTAGAAAGCAGCTAAAGCCAACGATACAAGGCAGAATGTTCAGTCTAAACCAAGAAAAGCAAAATGAAAACGTGATTACTATTCCACTAGATGGCAACAATTGAAAACCAAAGAACAGCTAGAAGAAAAACAAAACAAAACAACAACTTTAAATTACTGTGAGTAAATCAGTGTTACATTCTGTTCTGTTGTTGTTGTTTTTTTACTGAGGAAAAACATACACATTTGGTCACATTTTCATGGTTGGTCGTGACCCTAAAGGAGAAACGCTGCTCTGGGGTATGTTGTTACTCCTTAGATCTCCTTAGCTCCACTTTTTTTTTGCAGTATTTTAGGCAGAATGGGCTGCTCTGGGGTAACAACATTATCTCCACTTTTTTTTGCAGTATTTTAGGCAGAATGCAGTGACTCCAGTCGCCGACCTGCAGCCGTTACCTGCAACACTGACAAATCACAACGCCCTTGACTTCACTTGCACATCTACCGACACAAGGTCACCTTGTCAAATCACTTGACGGCAGAAAAGGCGATTACAGTAGCGCAGAGTCATGTCACGCATCGTTTGGTGCCATTTTAGGAACGCGGGGGCTCCGGGTCTGTGCACACTGCTCACTCCAGGCAGCGAGCAGTCGAAGCAGACTCGTCGAGCAGCGGAACGCTGACGTTATGCCTCCAAACTCCTGCAAAACAGCTCTTGCAGCACACAACTCCACTAGCCAAATGCTAATGTTTTGCCAGCGGCGTTTACTACTCGAGTACGCCGGGACGTTTTAAAAGCAGGCTCTTCAAGAAACGTGGGCTAAAAGTGTATAGTGTGACTGTCTGTCTAAAAATAAAAAAATAGTTCATGAAAGTGAATGACTTAAAAAAAATAGTTCATGAAAGTGAATGACGTTACTGTGGCTCCTCGCGTACTAAAATGAGCTTGAGTTCATGAAAAAAAAAAACTTATTACAAAGCTGAGTGAATTCCGCCGCTGGAGCTTCGGGCACACCGGAGCCACACAAAGAGAGACGCAGAACAAGGATGTGTTCTTCCGATGCAAACTGAACAGAGCAGCAATAACTAGGTTAGCGCTGCTAAATAAACATGTCTTTGAGAGCAGAGCAAGAAGAAATGCAACCGAACGCCAGTAACTTGGCCGCGGTTAACGCCGAGCTAGCAGCTCTGCACAGCGGTCGGAGGCCATTTAAACAAAGTATGTAACGATACAGCTGGCTAGCATAGCCTGGAAGCTAGGCAGTGACGCCACCGCTCTTACCTCGAACCGAAACCGCCGGTTTGAAGTGTTCCTCTTCTGCTTATAGCGCGGACATGTCGTTCGGCAAACCCTGTGAGAGGGATGCGAGGGATATTCTCTGCGAACCAACAAAACCCAGAGCGGTTGGTGTCGCCGCGCTGAGCCTCTGCTGCCGAAGGGAGCAATTAAGTCTTAGGCTCCACTTCTCGCTGATCGCATCTTTCCACAGCGACAACGCCACCTGACAACGGAAATGACGCACACGTTTATTTGATTGATGGCTCATCCGACCAATTACAGCGCACTTTGGCCGTTTTTTTCTTCTCTCTCTTTGATGACGACACCCTGTGGATAAAATAAGTTGCAAAATGAAGAAGAAATGCATTACAATTGTCCACGCGGGACAAATAGTGTGATAGAAATAGTTTAAGTACAGGTTATTATCCAAATGAGTTCAAATAAAAAAAGTGTATCTTTTTTGTGTCCAACTGATTGATTTTATATATTCTGACGTGCAAACATTTATTATTTATTTACTGAGATCTGAAATAAAGTCCTATGATATTCAGGTGCTAAACAATTAAAAAAATACACACATTGTCAGTTAAGATATATCTTATAAATCAAAATGTTACTGCGTTATTGTGATATGTTAACTTGAGCAGTTTTAATTTAGTTGAATTATTTTAATTAATTAATTACATTTTTATGTTATTTTAATATTTTAAATATCTATATCTTAATGAAAGGGTGACTGATTCGGATCGTGACTCGAACATTAAATAAATATATAAATAAACCTCAACAATTATAAGTAATTTAACAATCGGTTTTTCTGACAGTGTATTTAAGTAAATTAAAGTCAAGGAGACGTTGACATTCACTGCCTGTAGGCAGTGATCCTTAGACATATGCAGTAGTGATCGTTTCTCTCAATTGCCAAGTTTGCATGAAAGACCTCATCATCATCATCATCATCATCATCATCATCCTCCCACAGATCAAGTGATGTCTCAGCACGTTTCACCTACATGGTATGTAGTGTGTTTGTGTGTGTGTGTGTGTGTGTGTGTCTGAGTGCGGCTGGCTGTGGGTGTGCAGACTATCAGTCTCGCTTTGACTGGTACACAAACATCATGGGTGTACACAGATAACTGTCACAATGATGTCAGAGAGAGAGTGCATACACGGGTCGAATATTAGCTGCAGCATTAAAAGCTCTCAGCTCATGCTTTGAATGAAATAAATATTTTTACAGCAAGAAATTACTGGAAATTACTATTATATTTGCTTAAGTATTTGCAAAAAAAAAGAAAGAAAAAAAGAGATCAAAGTTGCATAGGTATCCTTTGAAACAAAATAAACACGATTATTTCATAGTTACTAATCAGAATACACGTTCGCAGAGAGTTGTTCTGCTCTTAAACCAGGCATTTAAAGCTTTTTGTACCGATTCAGGGAACACATTTGTTCTGACTGATCGATCCACTTCGTCTCACCTGCACAGAGGTCTGGAATATGTGGAATATGGCAGAACAATGTCCTCTCCTCAGTCAGGTAACGCTGACAGATCCTGGAAGAATACTAATGGTCAATGGTCATGTTTGGCTTAAAAAAATAAATATTTGCCCTGCAAGTACTAGTTCATGGAACTACAAGATACTAGGATGAAATACTGTTCCTCTTTACTTCAAACAAATATACTTTCTCATGAGCAATACATCTCTCTGTGCTTCTCTGCGATAATAAACATTTCGCTCCCAAACTTTTGTCGTTTTCATAAGAAAATTAAAGGGATTACAGTCTCATAATCGTGTGGGACATCTGTGTCCTCACGAACCTACGTTTCAGAGAGACATTCTGTACATGGACGTAGGGTTTTTTTTTGTCAGTTCATGTGCTCTAGTTATCCGTGGAAAGGTTTGACAGCTCCCCCCAGTGTTAAAACAAAGCCACTACAATGAACTGTTAACCAGACCGTGTCGTAATTTAAACCGTGTTTTATGTTAATGTACTGTATGTCTGAATGCTGGGATGTCGGTTGACATAACAAGCTAGCGGCGGGATTTAAGTAAACAAAATCGAACATAAAACATTGTCTGTTTTTTAAAATCTTTGTCATTATCATTGTCATTGTCTTTATTATAAAATCTCAGACTGCACTTTACACAATAAGACAACCACAGCCAAAATTATACATCGACATAAATACACTAAAAAATATTTCCTTTTTTAAAATATATACATTTTTTACAATTAATTCCTCAGTAAGTACATTCGTGTACACGTGAGAATAGCATTCTATTTTTGGACCACGGTTCTCAGTCGAAGTATGAAGGCAGGTGTATCACCAGACAGTCTTGATCAGTAGAAATGTGAATTAAATAAACACACGGAATAAAAGGTTGGACTTGTGAAGATTATCTGAAAAGTACTTCATGTTGTGCATTTTTGTAATATTCCTATGTCTATACGACATTTCTGGTGTAATTTTGTGCATTTTCTTATTCTCTTGTTCTAAGGTAAACATAGTTACTGTATTTTTAAAATCTGCTCTGTTATCTATATCCTCTTGGGGGCGCCAAAGTTTTCCGAGAATGAAATGGGAATTTTTGCTTATTCTCGCGTCGCCCTAAAACTCAAACAATACTTACAATATACGTATAATAAAGTATCTGCACAGTGAGACTTAAGGGTGAGGGGTGCGGGGGGGGGGGGGGGTTCTTTCACTCTAGGATCAGCATCAGAACCAGTATTCCAGTGCATTTATACATTGATAGTGTTCCACCGTTATGAATATAATGCAACTTTTTTTTTTTTACAGTACTTCTGGCAAAAAAAGAAAAACTCCTCACCCGCTGATATGTTCTCTTTGACAACCAGCTGATACACAGACTCACATCTGCTTTCAGAGAAGGATCCAATCAGACCACCGTCCTGACCGCTGCCAGTGGTTTGAATGGTTCTACTGTACAGACAGACAGAGAGTCGACTGGTCCACAGACTGGTCCGCAGTCCACGGCTGATGATAAATCAGTTTCCCATCATCTGGACCTTCGTGTTTCCGTGACCCGTCACAGACCGTCCATCAGGGCCAAGAGGTCGTCTCCTTTGCTGCTGGAGCTGGGAGACTGATCTCCGGACTCTGTGAACTCCCCCATGATCCGGGTCAGTTCAGCATTGGCCTGTTGGTCCTGAAAGACAACAGCGTCAGCGTTGGAGTGGACACTGTGCTGACTGGTTCATATAAACCTTTGGACCATCTGTACCTTTGTCGCCTGGATATTGATGACTCCGTACGAGAGCTCGTTTGGTCTTGATAACGAAGCCTCCCTGATATAAAAAAAAAAGGAGAACAAATGTTTTCACACAAGTGATTCTTTCTGAAGACAACAAACCACTAATACAGTGTTTGTCTGATGATTTTCTGCCATGCTCCCCCTAGGGGACAGAAGGTTTTTCACACCCTCCTTCCCTCTAAATTGAAATACTACTGAGCACCTGGTAATATTTAGTTATTTATACCCGCCCCACTATTTGAGAAGCACTGCCCTAATGGAAGACAGACACAGACATGTGCGAAGACTTACTCTTCTTCCTCATCTGTGGCGAAGAGGTTGACTCTGAAACTGCTGTCTACGTGTCCTGCTCTGTCGACCTCTAACCCTCCCATCAACCTGGCCAACAGGTTGAGCTCCTCTTTGGCCAGAGGGTTTGGAGCAGCACTGACCTGGGGAGCAGCAGTACATGGTTTCAGTCACTGTAGTGTGTGATGATGAGGAGGAAGAGGAGGAGGAGGAGTGAAGAGGAACAGAGGTCAGCAGTCTGTTTTACCTTGGTGTGCTGGGAAGAGTTTTTGGATTTTCCTGACAGGTGTGTTTCCACTGGACGACTCACACTGTACCTGCAGGAGGAGAGAGTCAGATGGTCAGGCATGAGCAAACTAAGGCCAAACATTTCCAAATTATATATTATATATTTATATTAAATGTATTGTAATGTTAAATTATTATTATGCTCCTGCCTTTTCCCTGCAATACCCACCTTTCCCCAGTAGATGGCGTGGAATATTATAAAAGCATTTTAGCCTCTATGCAGGAAAATTATAAAAGCATTTTAGCCTCTATGTATGACTTTTACATGTCATTTATTTTATTTCACACAAACGCTCTGAGTCAGCTGAACACTGAGGAGACTGATGATATGGATGTTTCTCTGTAAATAAGAGAAAAAAACTGAACTGCGGAGGAGGAGGAGGAGAACATCTCACATGTTGGTGCCCAGTTTGGTGAACCTGTCTCCAAAGATCTCAAAGGAACCTTCCCGTACTGCAGCAGTGTAGTTTCCTCCGTTGGTGAACTGCAGCCTGTTCACTTCCTCTCCTGTGCAGTTGAACATCCTGTGCACAGCAGACACAGGAACACACACACACACACACACACACACTCATGTATCTGATAAAGAACTTTTTCAGTGGCCAGGCTGCTGTGCTGAAACACCGCCACCATGTGGTTTTTAAACTTCACTGTCTGTACCTTATTAATCCTGGGACTTGTGTTCCGTATGGCACAGGTCCACTAGTGGGCAGCACAAAGCGTCCGTTGGAGTTCTGGACTTTGTCCTTGAGGAAAATGGAAACCTGGTGATGAAGAAGAGACACAGAGAGAGTGCGTGTGTGAGGAAATAGAATCAAACGTTATCAAATATCCTGCCCTCGCTGAGTTCATATGAGCGAGCGTGGACTCACCCTGATGTGCATGTCTTGGAAAAAGATCAGAAGTGTTTGTCGGATGAGCTGGAAGTCCCCCCCCGACAGAGGAGTATACATCTGAAAAGGCAGGAAGAAACATGAGACGTGGAGGCGATGAATCAGTTGTGTGTTTATACACAATCTGTAGTCATTTTAAAGAGTAAGTTTGTAATTAATTTCTGTGAAATTCCAGTGAATGGGCCTTGCCTCGATGAGTTGTTGATACGTCTCATCCACCTGACTGAGAATACTAGGAGTGTCCTTCAAAAAGTCCTTAATGGCGTCCATGTGGTTGAAGGAGACCAGGAGGATGTCCTTTGGCCGAGGACATAAAAGAACCTGATACTTGAAAGCCATGGTCATCAGGTCGTAGAGCTGAGGAAAGGAAAAGGAAGAAACTCATGTCATGGGGTTGGAGCAGAGCGCCCAGGAATCTGTATACTGTATATTGAAGTTGAAACAGGATTTACTATTTACCTCCTGAATTATAATTAAACTCAGATGGCGCCCCTCTGGTGGGAGCCTGTTACAGCAGTAATGTAATGTTTCCTTCATACAAGTAATACATAACATTTAGCTCTCTGCTTTTTTTAGGAGACCAGGGTCACCGACCGTGCCTTTCAGACAGTACCTTGTCCATGCTGGCCTGATTCAGCCTCATTATGGAAGCGTGGGCCAGCCTGTCGAACACAGTCCGCAGGGCCTTTTTGGAGTAAAGCTCCTGTGGTTTGAAAAGTTCTTCCAGGAACTTTTTGTTGAACATGGTGGTGATGATGTCATTCATAACTAGTGAGGCAGAAAAAAAAGACAACAGAAAGCGTTCAACATAATGGAAGTGATCACAGTGAAGTAAACAGTCTGGTTTTAGAGGCAGAACGAGGAGCAATCTACAGTGTTCTGCAGTGGTTCTTAAAAGTGGATTTCAAGAAACAGGGGTCTTTGACCTGATCATTAACTAGCTCCTTTATTAGTGTTAATTGTACAGGAGTCCAACGTTTTTATTTATGGAGAATTGATTTAGGAAAAATAAAGATTTTTTAGGAGAAAATTTAGTTACATGGACCCAGTTCCTCGCCCCCGCTTTTGAGAACCCCCTGCTATAAGGTACAGCATGACAGGCAATTTTTCTTCCATCAAAAGCCTCATCCCAACTACCCGCATGAGTTAGCAGAGCGAGAAGCACGAGTTCTATTTCCCAGCACCTGCAGATTTGGAAATCTACTTTGATTAAAAACACCAACAGTCACCAACAAAAAAAAACAAACTGTCATCTCAAGCCACCAATAGGCTGTGCCGGTGAGCACACCAACCCAGAATGAAAACATTCAGCACGGTCTTTTTTTGTTTGTGGTGTAGACTGGTTTACACCAAAGCAGAAGGAAGAGCCGCTGATCTATAACTACTGGACAGCTCCAGAACAACAACAACAACAACAATAATAATAATACCTCTCTGTCTGTCCTCCTCATTCCAGCTAAATGCTGTAGCAACTGTGTCAATTAAAACCAGACATCAAGACCGCAGAATTCTCAATATTATATTATATTACAGTTTACCGTCTTTTAGTCATTTTATCGTGTCATAACATGTCAAATTACCGCTTTCCCTTCACCTGTTTGGACCTTTTTTAGGATAAAATAATGTTGGAGAAAAAGGAATTCTAATTGATATTCTTGTTTCCTGTTCATATATATATATATATATATTATGAAGAGGTTGTATAGGCAGCTGGAGTTGATTTGTCAAGAGGTTGTATAGGCAGCTGGAGTTGATGTCGTAGGAAAATACAGGTATCCGTTCACTCTGGCGTCATTGAGAGTTGAGAGTCAAACACTCTTGTTACTGCTGTTAGCTAATTAGCCGCCGAGCTAAGGTTAGCTACCTTTCTTAGCCTTGTCAGCGGGAATATTCTGCGCCCGGAGCCGCTGGTCCAAAATGTAGAGCATCTCTCCGCCGAGGTTGATAAACAACAGCGGCAGAGTCCTTGACGACATGGCGGGGTTCGGTTCGAACGTGTCAGTAGTTCCAGAAAAGTATAGCAGCTAGCGGCTGCTCGTTTAAACATCCACTGATGTTTGGTAAAGCCTCTTCTCGTTGCCAGGCCACAAAGTCAAAAACCAATCAGGGCGTTGTGCGTCATTACGTAGGTAGGAATGACGTCGGGGGAGAAAGACGTCCATTAAACTGTACAGGTACTCAGACCTTTCTAACATTGGGGATTAGATTATTTGTTTCTTGCTAAACCGACAGCAGAAGAAGCAGCACTTTTATTTGTCTTCATTTGTATTTTTATAGAAATATACACTGTTTTACACTCATGTAACTGCGTGCTGTTTTATACAAGCCCATGATGCTATGCCCATAGTGTGAGTGTACGATGTTTTTTAGATTTTTTAGTTAAATTTTTAGTTTTGTTTCAAGTTTAATGTGTTTAGTTTTGTTTAATACCACTGTCGTGACATGGCTACAATTTGAACCTGGACAAAAAAAAATTCGAGCTAGCCAGGAGTCGAACCTAGAATCTTCTGATCCGTAGTCAGACGCGTTATCCATTGCGCCACTAGCCCTACGAAATGTTTGTGCATCTGTTTATGCTTTTAACAGTACAAGCTGACCTAGGGATCTCAAAGAGATATTGGTAATTAGAAAATCAACTTTAAACCTAAATAAGTGTGAGTGAATTTCTCATAAATGTACCACGAGAATTCCATCAGTACGGGGCTCTTAAAGGAAAAAATAAAGAAATAAATAAACGTTTTCTAATTCAATCAGTACGGGGCTCTTAAAGGAGTATGTGGAAAAATAAAGAAATAAATAAACGTTTTCTGGCGCCTACCTAAAATGTTTTTCTTTTTCATAATTTCATAAATGTGTGACAAAATCTGTAGGACAAAAAACTCTCACTTATTTCGGTTTCATCGTTCCTGGCACCCTAGAAACAATGATGAATGTACTCCTGTACTGCCAGTAGGTGGCGGTAATGCACCTCAAAGTTGATGGCTAAATGAACGTTGAATCTATCCATCCATCCATTTTTTTTCAAAAATCTTAGAATTAAAAAAAAAAAAAAGTTTTCAAAAAAATTTTAGAAAAAAAATATTTTTGAAAAAAATTTTTTTGAAAATCTTTTTGAAAAAAATTTAGAAAAAAATTTTTTTTGAAAAATTTCTTTTTGAAAAAAATTTGTTTTGAAAAAAATTTTTTTGAAAAAATTTATTTTGAAAAAAAATTTTTTAAACCTGTACCTGAGTCCACTGTTAAACTTGTACCTGAGTCCACTGGAAGGTACCCACCGCCCTAATCGGGATTCAAACTTGCCCAGGAGGTGAACCCTGGGGTTCCACACCAATGACAGAGACATTGCCTCTGGGCCAAATCTAATGAACAAATTATTTCTTTTATTCGTGTTCCACCACTACTATTAATTAAATTATATTTAGAATAGTACAAATCCAGACAGTGTGTGTAATCGATATTTAATCACTTTACAACAAAAGGCAAAGCAAAAATGAAACAATCTCATTTTCATTGACATTTCCATGAAGAGAAAGATTCTTGAATCGATTATGGAGCAAACATGTCATGTATTTACATCAACGAAGAAAACCTTCTACCCTTCTGTCGCACCTAATTACACCTAATACTTCTGCGTGTTGAGTTGCTAAGCGTTTATTCTCTACATTAAAGCTACAAATGAAAGTTGACGGTAGCAGAGGAACACAGGCCGTCTTGCTAGAGTTAAACTTCTCCATTTCGGATGCGGATTTCACGAGCCATCCTGCACAGGTCAAACGTCCCACAGAAACAGGACATCACTGCGTCGTTGCATACTGTGCCCTGGTGGTGAAAGAGGAACAGACAAACAGTGACGGTCAACAGATTGTTGCAGAACTAGGTTGCAGTCGGTATTTCTCAAGAAAGGAAACCCCGGCATTTCCAAACATAGTTCTTTCCCATGTAATGTGAGTTAAAAAACAAAACAAAAATCACTGCTTTTGGGTCACGTTCAGAAACAGTCAATGTACAGCTGGTATGTGGGACATACCTGAATACCATAGGTCAGTCTCATGTGAGTCCTCATGGCTGTCATTCCTCCTAGCATACAGCCCAGGCAGCAGTGTTCTCCGTACTTATGGGCTGTGTAGCAGCTCAGAGCCAATGGACACATGAAGCCGAGTAAACCTGAACACAGACATGAACAATTTATATCAATATATGTATAAATATATATATGTTTGTGTGTATAGTAGTAGTAATGAATGGCACCCACAGATGGGACAGTCACTGAAGATGGAGCACAGCCCAGTGCTCCACTGTCCTGTTTGGACATTGGTCCCGTAGCCCCCTGCCCCCGGCTGCTGAGTGACCGCTGGGTTGGACATTTTTGAAAATTTTCAGGATCTGACACTGTAAGAAGATTTCTGCCTGAAAATACAATAGAATGTATTTTATTAGAGCAATGTAAAAACAAAGTGCAGCAAATATTACATATATACATATAAACTTTTGTATCACCTGCAAAGTATTTAATATTTGTCAACAAATGGTCTGTTTTGTTTTGTTGTTTTTTTTTTCTAATGATATTTTGTGTCATCATAGATCACGCGGCTACCCTTTCTTGGCCTGTAGGTGGTGCTAAATCCCGGTTTTATGACGAACATTGTTTTCATATAAATCACGTAAAGTGACTCAGAACTTTTACCAAAGGAAAAAAAGAAAGAAAGAAAAAACATTCAGACCGACTGTTCTCTGGAACTCCGTTTCGCTAGAAATGAACATCGATAGTAGAATTTAGCATGTTAGCTGTGTTTTAGTGTTTATGGGCTGTTAGCATGTTAGCCCCGCATTATACACTGTATGTATAGATTTGACCAATGCTAGGTCGACTAATCATTGATATTTGGGTTGAACTGTGTGCTCTGCATTACCGCCACCTATTGGGTCAAATTTGCACTGCTAAATATTTCATATAGATGACGTCAACATTAATGACAAACATAAAAGAAAAAAGAAAAAGAAAAACACGGACAGAGAGAAGGTTTACGAAACCAACTACTCCGTGTTAGCCTCTTAAAAAGACTGAGGGGATTCATCTGAAAATATTTTGTATGAGTATCTGTGTACTACAGCTGTAAGAATCTCCATTAAAAGTTATTTTTTAAATTATTTTGTTCTTCCTTGGTAAAAAAATGCTGCATTTATGTCCAACAGTCCATTTTTAAAAACCTGCTCCTCGACGGCTTCCTGTGTTTCCACATGAAGTAAAGAGTTAAAAAAAAATACTAATATGAAGAAATAAAAAGTTAAAGTTTCGTGAGAATCTGCTACAACCTGAACTTAAACGATCTGTGTTTCATACAGTTGTTTCAATGTTGGTTGTTAAAACAAAAAGACATCAGATTGTTGTAAAAAAAAAAAAAAAGTTTAAAATTGCATTATATAAAATTGAGTTTTTCTGACGCTGACGTCTAAAAAGACAAATACCAGAACTAAATGAAAAAAAAAATCAAATTAAATTTTTATTGCGTGTTATAAATAAATGTGCAGACAGGAGAAGGAAGGCGTGTGAAGACTTACCCGAAGCCTCAGCGTCTGTGTGTGTGTGTTCCTCCAGATCAGACTGACAAACTGAACACCACACAGGAAACTGTGACGAGTCCGACCTGTGAAATGTTGGGTTTCACTGTCAAACTGCTGCGTTTGTAGAACACGCTGTTGCTGTTGCAAACTTTGATTATTTCAACCAACACTCGCTGGTGTTCTGTGACCTGCTGTGGGTTTGACGTGGAACAGGTTCCAAGAAGGGAACACGTCACTCGGCCTGGTTCTCACCCAGTCACATTCAAACAGAACCAGTGAACGCAGCACAGCATTGGACTTTTTTTTTTTTATATATATCAAAACTTCACTTTAAGATGGATTTGCAAAACACACGACACAACTGCTCCATCGTTTAAGAAATATTAGATTTTCAAAATCAAACATCCTTCAGTCTTTCTTCTGTTAGTATCAGAGTCCGAATGACCTTTGACCTATTGTTTTAAAACATTGACAGATTATCTTTGAATGAAAACAGTAAAGGGATGTGAGTAGTAAAAGTGAAGTACTTTTTTCACTGTGGTACCATGTGACCTACGGACCAGCAACGGTCCACAGACCAGGGGTTGAGTAAGCCTGCTATTGATAGATTGATATATATAACTTTATTACGTATTTCCCTCTGGAATTGCTTCGAGGATTAATTGCTATTGATAGATAGATAGAACTTTATTACGTAATTCCCTCTGGAATTGCTTCGAGGATTAAAGGAAAAACAAAGTCTTGCATTGGCCGGGAATCGAACCCGGGCCTCCCGCGTGGCAGGCGAGAATTCTACCACTGAACCACCAATGCTACACATGTTAAGTGTAGGTTATTAAAATGCACAAAGCTACTCCGATGGTCAGTGGTGATGAAACCACTGGGGTGGGGCGTCAAACCGAAACAGAAAAAAGAGGTGGGACGGAGGAACTATTACTGCTGTCACAGATTTGTTTTGGGATTTTTTGGATTTGGTTTGAGAATATGTGGAACTCAAGTTGAAGAGGAGTTGTTTTGAGGTGACTCCTATGGTAGCGTGGCCGAGCGGTCTAAGGCGCTGGATTAAGGCTCCAGTCTCTTCGGGGGCGTGGGTTCGAATCCCACCGCTGCCAGTACTTTTGTTGCTTCCATAATGTAGCAGTTAGCATGTCTGCCCTTAAAGCAGAGAGCAGAGTTCGATTCCCAGAGGTACCACAAGCTTGGCGCCTGTTAACAGCATCTGCTGGCCTTAAAGCAGAGAGCAGTGAATAGTGGGTTCGATGCTTGGCGCCTGTTAACAGCATCTGCTGCTACCACAACAATTTCCACAAATATGGGATCAATATAGCACAAATTTATTTATTTTTATATATTACTGATGGCCTTCAGCAGGGGGCAGCCACGAGTAGAAATGTGAGTGGCAGTTGGTTCAGTATGGGTGGGATAAAGAATACTCGGCGAAATAATTTAAATAAAATCTACAGGAATAAAGCTAAACTTTCAAAGATATTTTTGCACATTTAGTCTCTGCTGCCATTTAGTGGCATCAACAGAAATTACAGTCAAACGTAAAGAATAAAAACAGAAGGATGGACATCGGTCTTTAGCATAGGCTACCTCGGGGGGCCGGATTAGAACGCTGGATGGACCATATCTGGCCCACAGTTTGTCTAAAGGGGCAAACGTTAAAGGTGACGCACGCTGTTGTTAAATAAACCCTGTAGATGGCAGTAATGAATCATAACAACACGTAGATCATGCTGATAAAGCTAAAAGAAGCTAAGCTAAAAGTGTTAGTACAGTTAGCTTGGCCTATCCTGGGTGAAGAACGTCCAAATAAAACGCTCACACTAGCGTGGTGCTAACGCGCTACACATTTAAACTCATTCAAACTGGATTTTCACAACACGGCTTTATTACTTTAAACGTTGACGTTTGGAGGTGAATTTAAAGCACAAATATTTACTGAGAAGTGTGACACGCTGGAGAAAACTGTTGGTCGGAGCAGGTGTCGGTGTAGTAGGCAGTAGTACTCAGCAGTACTCAGCAGTATTTTCAATCATTGGTGCCAGTATTTGTCTTGGTTGAACGTTGCTTCATTTTCAGCCTCTGCTCTGCTTTCTGCTTCTGAACTTCTTTAAAGATCTGAAAAAAAAAAGAAAAAAAAAAGGGGGGACACATGACCAAGTGTCGGTGGGGTCAACACACACACACACTTGGACTCGAGTCATCAATTTGATGACTTTAGACTTGACTTGACAAAATGTAAGGAGACTTGCAACTCGACTTGGACTTTAACATCAATGACTCGTGACTTCACTTGGACTCGAGCCCTTTGACTCGACAAGACTTGATACTTTCTCCAAAACCCAAAGTGATCTGTGTAAATATATTATTATTTTGTTTAAAACAGAAACGTAAGGACTTAGGACATGACTTGACACTTTTTAGTCTTGACTTGAACTCGACTCGGATTTTACCTGTCTTGACTTGAGACTTACTTATGACTTGCAAAGCAATGACTTGGTCCCACCTCTGATACACACAGTCTAATTTAATTCTGTGTTAATATGTGCGGTCCAGCAGGCTGATGGGCGCACGGTCGCAGTAACTCCGTGATGAGTTCAGGGGTTTCAGTAACCTTTCTTTGTGTCTTATCAATCTAAAAACTGAAGAGTGTAAATATCTGTCTTTCCTGTGGTGAACGTGCGTCAGTTTTGTTCTGACTGAACTGAAACTAATTCACCACAGTGTTGTGGTGAGTGAGAGGCAACAGAGACACAAGAACGAAGGAACGACACCTCAAAACACCCCAGGCTAAAAAAAACCAAACAAACAAAAAAACGACTCTCTTAGGGCGCGGTGAGAATAAAAAAAGCAGTGGTGGTCTGTGTGTGTGTGTGTGTGTGTCGTTGCCTTCCTCTGGTTTTTCTTTTCATGCCATTAAAAACCTCATCATGCAGAGAGGGTACAATGTGAACGTTGGTTGTTATTTGTGTTGTTTTTGTTGGTGCTACCTTTAAGCACAGCGCCTTCTTGGCCAGCCAGCGCCGGGTGACCCGTCTGTAGTACTCCGGGGGGAAGGTGTAGGTGATGCCCAGCTGCTCGCACACTCGCTCAAAGCTATCGTAACGAACCAGCCTCAGCTTCTTCAACATCTTTTTCCTTCTGTCAATGGCCATTAGCATCCGCCTCTTATTAGCTTTGTCCTGGAATGGAAAAGAAAAAAAGAAAAGAAAAAGAAAAACAAAAACATACATTCAGTGTCATATTTTTAAACTCACTTCCTTGGGAATATTAGGAGTGCAAGTAAATATCACAATATACTGAAATATTGGAATATTAAATTTCACAATACCAAATTGATATTTCTATTTTTTAAGATTTTTATTATTATCATTATGTGTTTCCTATAATAACAGTTTTACTACAATTGTTAAACCCCCTCCTACAGCATCGCAGTATTTCGCAATATCATGATATGTATCGTATTGTCAGGTTCTTGACAATACACACCCCTAGTGGATATATTTAATAACTGAAAAGTCAAGAGTCCAAAAAACAAAACAATCGACATCGGTCTCTAACACGACGGCGTGTGACGTGTCGTGTAGCGTGGAACTTTCCAGCAGTAGCGCAGCTACACACGAGCAGCTGTGGGAGTTCAGACAGGATATCCTGTCAGATCAAACACCACAGGAAACCGAGCGGAAACATGGAGACACACGCCGGCGTGAAGGGCTTCAGTGGTGAAATCACACTTGTTGAAAAAAGTGTTGCATCATGTTGCACATTTGTACCTGCTCACACATGGGAGGGAGGGGGAGAGAAAGGGAGGGAGGAGGGGGAGGGGAGACGACAGTGATGGAGACGCAGCTTCACTCACTTTTCTATGTTTCTGCATGTGCTCCTGGAGGTTTCGGATTCTGGCCGTCAGAATGGCCACTAGGAGACAAGAAAAAGGAAGAAACAAGGAATCAACTCGCTTCATTAATTAGAGCTGGGCGGAAAAAAAAAATTAAATTAAAAGTCATTTTCTTCAATCGACCAACGGCATGTTCAAAATTCAACGATGAATTTTAAAGTTTAAAGAAACTTCTTCTTTTCAATGTTTACAAATACTCAAATCAAAGTACAAGTATCTGTCAAAAAACATACTTATACTAAGTCTCAGTGGTTTTCATGTAGTATTTACTGCGGTTTAAATCGTGTTGTGTATCGATGTCGTGTTGGTCACATTTTAACGGTTCTGTCGTAACATTTTCCAACATTAATACAGCAGCAACATTCATCTGTAAAGAGAGTAGACGGTGCCCTCTTGTGGCCATAGATGATATGGCGTTTATTTTGGACACTTGGATGTATTTATTAATATCTATATTAACTACTGTTGATGAAGGACTAGTGAAATCCACCTTGAACTTCCTCCGAGCTGCGGTCGTACTCATCTCTCTGGACTTTTTTAATCAGTTGCTCTGTTTTCAGGTCCAGCTTCTCACGCTGACGACAAGAACAGAAAAAAGGTCAACTTTCTGTTTGGATATTCTTCACGGGAGCAGCTCATCACTGAAAACTGGAACCAAAAAAGAATAAAAATGTGATCTTTTTGGTGCAGAACTCACATGAGACGCCAGCTCCAGAGAGAGAAGTCTTCTGACGATGTCGTCAGTCCTAACCAAAAAAAAAAAAAAAAACCCACACAAGACATTTTAATAACAAATACTGAAATGGAAAAATAAATGATTATAAACTTCTGTGGTTTGGTTTAAAATAAGGAATAGACGCTCGAGGTTTTGTGTGTTCACGTAATTCTGTAAAATAAGGAATAGACGCTGGAGGTTTTGTGTGTTCACGTAATTCTGTGTTTGTTTTTTTTATAGTAAAACACGGATATAAGAAAACGCACGTTTGAGCGAGAGGAACGGCTGCGAAGTTGTTCTTCAGCATCGTTGGAGGAAGATCACTGAGCTGACTCTGAGGAGCTGAAACACACACACACACACACGATGGAAATGAACGTCTTCAACAAACAAACAGACTTCAGACACTGCCTGTCTTGCATCATTACGTACCAGTCTTCTTCTTCTTGGAGATGTTGCTGGCGTAAAACCTCACTGGTGATGAAACACAAACGATGTTTGGAACTTAAAACAGAAGAAAAAACAAACAATATTATTATGGAACATTTATTCTAACCAGTATTTAAAGTCAAGTCAAAGCTGTGCCAAAAATAAACAGCAACCAAATCTCTTATTATGGCAGCATGATTACACACAAATGTAAAGTTTTGATTTAGAATGTTTTCTTTAATGTTTCCCTCTCTTGTGTGGAAATATAACTTAAAAAAACACCACAAAGCGTCATAATGTATTTCTTAAATCTCGCGCACCCCCTAGTGGCGAGAAACATTTCTGCCAGAACCTTTCTTCACGGGTAAATGTCAGCAAAAATCTAAAACAAAACAACTTATTCGTCCACAGACCAAAAAAAAAAAAACGATGAGGGGGCGACATCACAGAACAAATGGTTCTCACGGTACTGTTTGGTTCACGTCACAGAGTTGACGTCCACAGAGAAACTGTTGAATGTCTTAAAGCAGGACAGTAAAACGAGTTCCACAAAGGATGAACAGACACGACTGCATCAGACGAAAAACGGATCAAAGAATTATTTATGTTAGCGAGACATAAAAGAAGAGGAAGTTGTTCTTCGGTTTTCACATCGCTCACCAACGGAACTTGTACGAAATGAATCGGACGGACACGTCTCTCAATGACGGACTTAGAGACACATCGTTGTTGAACAAATGTCTGGTATAAAAGTGATTCTAAAAAGTGACTCTTTATCCATATATTGAATTAGCAAATAAACTTCATTTCTCGTCGTCGTCTCATCGTTCTGCGACGTTTTTGGTCTTAACGCCATCACATTCTCCCGCGGATGAATCCATGTTGGTGACGTCACAGATGATTCTACTATAAAACAACAATATTCTTTAAAAGCGTTATCCAGGTCTCCCCACTATAACACTAACAACATTTCGGTCACGGACTTACCGCTGCTGAGCCTCGGTGTTGTTGACAGAACAGAGCAGCATGTCCACGGTTTCGCCGACACACAGGAGCCGAGCTCACGGAGAACCACGGCGGAGGTTTTCAGGGTTGTCCGCAGAGCCATGGTTGTTACCGTGTCTCACCCTAGGAACAAAAACCGTCAAATAAATCCTCGTTTTAAATAAATGTTACACAGATAACTGAACTCGACCCCTACACGCCGTCCGCCATCTTGACTAGTCTAAACTAACCGATCGTGCACACGCTGCTGTCAGTCATCCCAGGCGTGAGATCGATCCCAGAACACATCGATGTGTGTTTCTTCCTAATCTTCTCTCAGGCGCTTTGGAAACACAAACAAATGTTTTAAAAACTACAACTCGTTCATAATATTTATTTTTTTAAAAGTATTATTATTAAAATATTTATAATGTTTGTGACTTTTTTAAAACTAATTTTCCTCTTTTCACCCTTTCCCTTAAATATCGCCATCTGCTGGGTCTATGTTGAACAGAACTGTCAACATGAAAATGAAGGGAAAAAAAGTTTGTACCGCATACACAAACACTCAGCTGGTTCAGTGTGTTTATAGCGCCACATGTGGATAAAATGTATAACTGTAAAAATGAATTGAAGTCAAGCTCACACACTCAGTTCCCTGGTGTATTAGACACTTTGTAAAACCCACTTTCTTTTGTAAAAATAACACTGTTAATGTTGCTTCATTTTTCATCCTCATCTTCATCAGTTTGTACCTTAAAAACAAACACATCACAAACATGTTTCATAATCAAACATTTACACGATTACTTGTTTACATTTAGAGACGTATCACATTATCGATGTAATATTTACATGTGATGACCTCGACATCCAAACAGAACGAACACAGAGCTCTGAGAGGACAGGAAAGGCACTCAATATTATTTTTGTTATTTTTTTGGTTCTGTCTTAACTGGACGGAAACAGCAGAGAGAAACGGAGAAGAAACTGGTGTCAAAAAAGGAGAAGAGACAAAGATTATCGACCTGGGCTGGACAGGTTTCGTTCCTTTCTATAAAAATGTTGACTACTTCTTTTATTCTCTACTGTACTTTCATTTCAACCTCCCTGCAGTACCTCTGCAGACCACTAGACCACCGGTTGCAGACTGGTGCTGAACGTTCCTAAATCTTTTGGTCAAATTAAGTCAGTGGGGAAAACAACGAGACACAATTAAAATGAAATCGTTTTGATCACGTAACAGATGAAAACAAGATCAAATATTTGACTGAGAGTCAATCCTGAGGTCAGTGTTTTCAGTTGTTTTGTTCAACTTTAGAAAAGAAAGGGAACTACTTGTCATTGTGAAACAGCTCAACACAATGTGACCTCTGCTTTTTACCAATCACCAAAGTCAACGGGGGGGCAGCTGGTGGACTCGAACCTCCAACCTTCCAGATCCAAGTCCACTTCATTTGGTATTATTAATGAACCTGTCTAACTGGTGCAATTGGTCTAATAGAGCAGGGGGAGGTGCAGGGGGTCGAATGAGGTAGAATGAAGTAAAAAGTTTGAGATACAGATAAAAAAACCCTGAGAAAAAGCAAAAAATTTCACAAAAACTTAATAAAACTAAAATTGATTTACCTTTAAAAGAAGTTTAAAAAAAAACAAAACAAAACAAAAAAAAACCTCTCAGTTGTTCGGAGCGTCGTACAAGGCTAACGCTTGTAGGAAAGGAAAGTCGTTCCAGATACTGGCCGGTTCTGTCGCCTCTTCGTCGTCCACATCGCTGTCCTCTGTTCCGAAGAAATACTGCTGCAGTGTGCCATCGGGGGCAGTATTCTGGTAGCAGACAGGAGTGAAGGGCTCTTCGTTCTCCAGCAGGGGCTGCGTGGACTCAGAGTGCAGGTAGGCGTGGCGCTGCGGCGGGGGAGGACTGTCGCAGGGACTGGAGAAGACCACGGTGGCATAGGGAACGGAGTCGCTGCGTGAAGCGGGATCGTCCAGGGAGAACGGAGAACCACAGAGAGACGTGCCCAGGTCACTGGTGTCCTCCAAAACATCGGTCCAAACACCAGTCTCCTCTTTGCCTGCTTTGAGTGGGACGTCCAGGTCCAGGTGTTCCAGGAACACTGGGTCTGGTTCGTCACTGTCCATGGAAGGATATGAGTACTGCAGATAGAAGTACATGAGAGAAATATTACTGCGAATGGAAGTACAAAAGAGAAAATATTACTGCAGATGGAAATACATTTTAGTAATATTAATTATTACTATATTACTTAGGCCAGGGATCTCCAACCCCTGGTTCACGGACCTGTACCGGTACGTAGATAATTATGTGCCGGGCCGGAGTGGGTCTAAAAAATGTTTTATTTCGAAAACTGAATGATCCTTAATGATAATTCAAGATCACACCGACCGATCCTTGGTAAAATTAAGTTTGGGGAATGCTGACTTTAGGCTAGCTTGGTTAACCCTGCTAACAAGTGGCTAGTAACCTCACTTTTCTTTGGTCCTCATTGACAAATATTGTGACGTGTTTCAATACTACCACCTAAATAACCATGGTTAAAAACAATCGTTAAAAAAAAAAAAACAATCTAAATTTTCTGACCTGCGAAGATTCCGATGTCCATCTCTTGATGCTACTGTTAGCAGGATCTGGAACATCGGGGCAGAAACCACACTTTAACCTGGTGAATGAAAACAGACAAAACTGATTAAATTAATGACTACAGCTCCACAGCTTTCACACAGAGCAGGGGGCTGCAACCTGGGGCTCCCGGGCCACATGTGGCTTTTAATCCTCTTTGCCCCGGCCCCATGTGAGATCATAATGAATGTCACGGAACAGACTGACGGACAGATGGATGAAGGGGGAAAAAAAAACAGGGCTGAGCCCTGTTCTCAACTCTGTTGAGAATTAGATTCTAAGTTAAAACAATTCTGTTGACCACCAGAGGGCGCCCGTGTAGAAACAGATGTTTGTCCTATATATTGCAAAACTCTGATTTAAATGATTTAAAGGTTTTGTTGTGTTCTCTGTGAATTCTATTGGACGAGAGTGAATGACTGAGTGACCACAGACACAGACAGAGAACTGACCTTTTGTGATCATAGAAACAGTTGACCAAGAAGATGACCATCAGTAAGAAACTGAACAGCGCCGCGGTGACCGACATCACCATGGTGACGGGATCTGGACAGGAAGGACAAAGATAAATTCTGCGTTAGAACGTCTCAGTTCGTCCACTTTCTGTTGATGACAAAAATGGTACCGACCGAATGGTTCCACTTCAAAGGTGATGGTGGAGCCGTTCCGACTCCCGCCGGACGTGCTGACCATCATGAAGGCCTTGTACACCGTGGAGGTCTTCAGGTGTTCCAGGGTCACCTTTCTTTCCTCCACGTCTGCGTTCACAACTGAAAGAAAGGTCAGAGGTCAGGGGACGTCGCGGTCATGGGAGAAGAAGCTGGGAATTCCACCAACCGTTGACCGGCCCCTCCTCCTCCCAGTAGAAGACCTTGTAGTTCTGGATGATTCCGTTCCTCTGCTCCAGTGGGATCTCCTCCCAGGAAAGTTTGACCTGTGACCTCCACTTCTTTATGTTTATTTTAGGAACCACCAGGGGAGCTATGGTCAAAAAACAAACAAACAAACAAACATGTCGATGTTGTCATTTTTCCGTATCTTTTTTTTTATGACTTCAGTTCGCGGTGGTCGTCCGATCTTATTTCGACCCAGGACAGTCTACACAGACCTCATCAGGGTTGGTCTCTTAGCCCTGGACTAATGTGGAACTTCTAAGTCTGAGTCAAAAAATTTTCATTTTTAGGTCTCAAAAAAATAAAAAGATATAATTTACAGAATTGGATAAAATTACAATGAAACCGACAAATACATCATGTAAAAAATCCCACGAGACAAATCGAGTTCGATTCCAACGTTTGATACCGGAGTCATTATTCATTTATCCACAAGAGGGAGCTGTGTCACCACCTATCAGCTGCTGTTGCCACTTACTCTGGTGTTGAGCAGATGATGTTTATTTTTTGCCACACAAACTGTAATATTATGTCTCTAAGAGTTAATACATTCTGCCCCTCCATCCCCCCCCCCCCCCCCCCCTGTGTCCCCCTGGTGTCTGCAGTGACTTACCCTTTTGTCTTGAATAGGCTTTAAGAGTCTGAGGAAAGCCGATCCCATCCTTAAACCTGGGATACACGGAGATCCCGTAGGGCTTGTAGGGCTCAGCGCCTCCTATTGATGAGAGCGAGGAGGTTAGAGTGGATCAGGCCCACGAGCTGCTATCAGTGAGAACAGCTGCTGCTACAGGACGCACACAAGCTCCAGCGTCGGAGTGAGGTTGAAATATTCATAAGGACGCCGGGGCAGAAAAACTGAAATAATATTACTATAATAATAATAATAATAATAATACTAATAAGACAGACGGACACACCTGCTATGACCAGACTGGACTGGTTTGCGTCTACTGTTTCAAACTGGGTGGAGGACAGGTCTCCTGGTAACAAAGGTCTCCATTCAACCACGTGACCAGTGAGGTCGGACGCGTCCGTGGTTTTCCACCGGACCAAGAATCCTGCGTTGTCCTGAGGAGTGACCGTGAGATCTGAGACGGCAGAGTCGGCCACTGGGACAAAAACACATAATCACAAATAGAAA